TTTCCTTCTGGTTTTGCTTGTTCTCTCGGACCAAGAAGGGTTCACCTCATTTTTGTAGAGATGTAGCCCCACAGGGCAAGTGATACCTGTGTTTAGTAATAGCAAACCATTTTTGTTTTTTGTTTGTTTTTTTACATTTATTTATTTTGAGAGAGGGAGAGAGAATCCCAAGCAAGTTCCATGCTGCCGGCATAGAGTCCGACGCAGGGCTCAATCCCCCATACCGTGAGATCGTGACCTCATGGTCATGAGCCGAGATCAAGAGTCAGGCACTTAACCGACTGAGCCATCCAGGTGCCCCTGCAACAGCGGACCTTTTGCTTAGGATTTTGACCCAAAGAGGAGACCCCTTACCACCCCCCCCCTCCACCCCCCGCCCGACCATCAGAACACAGCACATTGTCTTCTGGAGTCTACTCAGTGCTACTTGGCAAAAAATAGCCAGGAAAAGTCATGGGAAATCAAGCTTTTCTTAGCACCTTACCTCTGATATGCTTATGCTCTAACACTTGCCTTGTGTCCTGGTGACCCCTCATGGCTCCGAGAAGTCATAGAGTGATAAGCTTATGTATGGGTTTCTTTCACTACCTGTGGAGGTTGAGCCTCTAACACAGAAGCCTTGACTTTGGGCCAGAGTTCTGTTCATCCTCATGAAAAGAGAAGGTGCCCTTAGGTGATAAGGTTTCTTGTTGGGTCCACATCCAGATGCTTCCTCATACAGCATCCTGGGGCCTTTGAATTCCACCGGGCTGTTGCATCTTTGGAGAAGACAAGCATTCTCCTTGCAGCGCACCCGGTAGGAAAGTTTTGGCTTGGTGCAGCTCTTCAGAGCACGAGACTGAGAGCAGATCCCTTGCAAGGCCTTGTCCAAAAAGAGAATGGACTGACTCATGATACCTGGGTAGACTCCAGAGGGAGTTGCAGTGCCCTCTCCGTTTGCGGGCAGGGCACTCCCTCTTAGCGGGGCCAGCTCTGGGCACACTGGTGTCCAGCTGGCCATCTGGACGTAGTCAGGATCAGCTTTCTACCGAAGCTGTTGGGATTTATATTCCATTCTAATCCGATGGAAGAATTCGTCCTCAGCTCTGATAAGCCATCCTGCCTGATGTGATGGAGCTTGAAGGGAGTGTTAGTTATTGGAGCACCGGAGAGCAGTGTGCAATTCAGGGGAGATGAGGAAGAGAAGACCAGCATCCAATGGCTTTACCATCTCCAGGGATTCAAGCGCTTGTGGGGTTGTAGCAGCATCAGGCAGGGCCCCAAAAGGCCTTAGGTGTTGGGCTGCCTCTATGATTTACTACTTTGTGACGTTGAGTATGTTAACTTAACCTCCCTGAGCCACATCACCTTCATCTGACAGAACAGGATAAAAGCTCTTTTGTCCATCAAACCAGGGATGTGTGACCGGAAATGAGTGTTTGGGGGAAGTGCCTTGACAATCCTAAAGTATTATATTGACATAGGTCATTATTTCTAATTTTTTTTTTAATGTTTATTACTTATTTTTGAGAGACAGAGACAGAGCACAAGGAGGGGGAGGGGCAGAGAGGGAGACACAGACTCCGAAGCAGGCTCCAGGCTCCGAGCTGTCCGCACAGAGCCCCAGGCGGGGCTCGAACTCACAAATAGTGAGATCGTGATCTGAGCCGAAGTCGGATGCCCAACCGATTGAGCCAACCAGGCGCCCCAGACGTAGGTCATTATTTCTAAAGCCAGTAGCTTATATTATATGCCAGGGATGCTGGTTACATTCTAATTTGGGGACAGAGGCCCATTTACTCATACATGGTCCATACATAATGCCCTCTTGAAGGGTTTTTCTCTACCCAGGCTCCATTTGCTGGGCATGGGCAGATTCTGTCTTCCCGGAGTCCGTACGGAAAAAAAGGAAGCAGTTTGTTTTCCTGAGAGTCTCCTGGATGGGACCTCTCAGATTCAACTAAAGTAATGTGTATTCATTTTACCACAGTTAAAAAAAAAAAAAAAAAAAAAAAGACTCCTGTGTTAGGCTCCTTTGCCTATATGCCTTACTTGGCTCTCATCATAATATGAAAGTGAGAGTTCATGTAATAAAGTTTAAAAATGTAGAGCTTTCCCATGAAAATCTTGAGTTTGGTCTTGCTCTGGCCCTGTAAGCCAAGGCTCTGCTGCCTGGACTGTGGAGGCATTTGGTTCTGACCTTGTCTGAAGGCCTCTAAATCCCACAGATGTTAAACCTTGCATTTATGATGGAGACACTTGAGTAGGAAGTGTTATTTTCAGATTGGAGCAAAATGATAACACTTTGGAGTTTTAAAACTGTGAGTTACTTGAAGAAGGCCTTGAAAAGTCCTTAAATGGTAATAGACATCAGACTAATGTGAGACATAGTATCTACTCAGGTTATAACACTGGTATTCATTAAAAAAAAAAAAAAATTAGGGGCGCCTGGGTGGCACAGTCGGTTAAGCGTCCGACTTCAGCCAGGTCACGATCTCGCGGTCCGTGAGTTCGAGCCCCGCGTCGGGCTCTGGGCTGATGGCTCGGAGCCTGGAGCCTGTTTCCGATTCTGTGTCTCCCTCTCTCTCTGCCCCTCGCCCGTTCATGCTCTGTCTCTCTCTGTCCCAAAAATAAATAAGTGTTGAAAAAAAAAAAATTAGAACAATTAATTCTGACACAGACTATGCTGTGGGCGTGGATTCTCTTTGCGTGTCTGTTAGTTCACAGGAAACATCCAGGCCGTTCTCCCAGTCTCCGCGTCCCTTTTCCATTCAGTCATTAGAGTTGTTGAGTGCCGGCCTGGGTTCTAAGCTTGAGTGAGTTTTCCATCCAGTGGCTTCCTAGCCCCTCCAGGGAGTTGAGGGGATCCTCAGAATGCAGTCCGTTGTGCTTGCCTTAATACACTTGGGGTATGTCATAAAAACAAAAACATATGAACACAGCTCAGCACCTATCAGAATGAACGTCAGTGTCAAACTGGATTGAAACCTGGCTTTTTGTATGGTTAGTCCAGCTTCACAGTGTTTATAAGAAGGAGACAAAAGTAAGAGCATGGAAAGATGAGAAGGAAAATAGGGAAGAGTTCCAGGGAATACTAACCAAAAGAAAACTTGGCATGGCTTTATTAATATTAAATAATGGATTTTTTTAAAATTTATCTTTTATTTTTATTTTTAATTTTACTTTTAATTTTTTAAAATTTACATCCAAATTAGTTAGCATATAGTGCAACTATGATTTCAGGAGTAGATTGATTCCTTAGTGCCCCTTACCCATTTAGCCCATCCCCCCTCCCGTAACCCTCAGTTTGTTCTCCATGTTTATGAGTTTAAATAATAGATTTTAAAGCAAAGAAGATCATTTCATAATAACAAATGGGACAAGTTACTAGAAGATAATCTTTGATTTTTTTTCCGGAGTCGATACATGTAGCAAATCAGCAAGAATTTACAAGTTCTGAACATTATAGTTAACTAGTTTGAACCGTACCCATCAACTGTAGAATATAGCCCTTTTCAGGACATGGGGAACATTCCTGAAAACTGGCTATGCACTGGGCCCTGGGGTCGATCTCAGTGCATTTCAGAGACTTGACTGGCAGTTCAGGCAGTGATTCTTAACATTTTGCAAGTTAACAACAGCTTTGACAATCCTGCATACCCTATAAGTCAAGATTCTCCACCTCAGCACTACTGACATTTGGGGCTAGGCAGGTTTTTGCTGTGGGAGCTGTTCTGTGCATCGTACCATTTTAGCAGCATGGCATCCTGGACTCTACCCACTGCCAGTAGCGCGTCCCCTCTAGTATTGGGGGTGGGGGGGGGGATGCGTCTCCAGACATTGCTAAATTGTCTTGTGGTGGGCAGAACCACCCCTGGTTGAGAACCACTCTGATAATAAGTCTTTTTTTCAGAGAGAGAACCTAATTGTTTCATACGGTTTTTTCCTTCTTCAGTAGCTGAATGGTGCTGTCCTCACTGAGGACAGCTGAGTGGGATGTTTGTAAGAAAAAGCAGTGGGACAGCCAAGGGGCCTGAAGGTTTGGTGCTTGCTCTGTGCACAGCTCCCCTGTCCAGTGTACAGACCCTTGTGCGTGAGGGCGTGGAGGCATCAGAGTTCCTGGCCCTGAGGGCTCACTGCTGTCCAGTGTCCCAGATGTGAGACTTCTGTTTTGTTCTGGGCCTTTGCCTAAGTGCTAGTCACAGAGTTCAAGTCCATACGGGGGGGT